GCAGAGATAACTTTCTTTAGAAAGTTGTCATCTTCTTTGTCACTTTCTATTCTTTGGGGCTGATGAAATGACAGTTCAGACTTAACTTTTACATAAAGCTACATTTAGATTTTTTTTCCCCAGACATTCTTGATTTCTGTTACACAGGACACACATTCCAGAAACCATTCTCTTCTTTCATGGGGTTTTGAAGCAATCACCGCTGTCCTGGGTCATTATTAGAAGAAGTCTCACTGCAGATCCAGAAACACGGGGAGAGTGGCAGGCAATTTCGGTTTCGGCAAGAGACTGACACCGGAAAGGAGAAGTCAAGGTGTTGATGATTGAAATCAAGATGACCACTGTGCGAGTTATTTCCTGCAGCTGGGGTTCCACTGCCCACAAGCCCCTTCTTTTCCCTTTGCGCCCAGCAGCTCTTCTGTCCCCGGCGAAGCCAGCCTGATACATGTGTGCAGGTTTAGTGCTGGTAGAGGAGGGTCAGCTCTACCCGTACATAATCACTGTTTTATGGCTTTCACTCATTCCTGAGGTGTTAATGCAGATCAAATGGGAAACATTCCAGAAAGAACCCTGGCAGCTACTGCACTGCCTAGCTCTCCGGGCTCAATCGGGCTCAATCGTTAATTCTTATTGTAAGATCTAAAGGTAATTTTGTTTGCTCTCTTAATGCGTTGCAGTTCTCCCAGTGGCCCTTGCGTATCCTTTCTCAAATTCCCATCTTGATCAATTGTTTGCAAATAATTAAGCTTTTAAGAGATAATGGCACGAGGCTAATGTACACAACAAAGGAGAGGTCTCCTGTCACCGTCTCTATTGGAGTGGTCAAATTTGCTTTGATATCCCAAAGTGATTAGGTTGATTGCTGTAGCTGGCGAGTGCCGTCCTGTCCTTCCCAAGAACCTACTGATCTCTCTTAAATTAGCGTCCTTACCATCTAGGTGCGGTCAGAGCAAAGGTGTTCAGGAGGATGGTGAGGGGTGACCTTAGTTGCAGTGGTTCGGAATGAAATCCCCATTTTCTTCCTAAACCGGCACTTGTCTTTTGTAAGCCGGTGTCTACCTTTGCCCAGCTCACGGCCTCCCTCGCCCTGGGCGGAATGCAGCGGGGCTTTGCATGTTTTTACAGCAGCCTCGCCTGTGGCATGTTGGGTTTTTGTCCTCACTTTTTTGAAGTCTACAAAGGAATAGCTCCTACTCTCCACAGAAAAACTTTATCTAGTAAAGATGTATAGGATTTAAGATATTTAAACATACTGGATTTCAGTTAAAAGGCCGACTTCTTTGTGAATTTTTGTTTCACTGTGGATTAGGTACCTGAAGTCATGGCTTTCACGTAAACTAGTAATTATAGCTTTCCCCCCCTAGGGGACTGAAGGTTTGTGGACACCAAGGCCAAGAACTATGAGAAAGAAAAGAACCCATGCAGTTGACCTGCCGTAGACAAGGGTATAGGAATTTTGTCAATACCTTTCCCCCCCTTAACAATGACCGGACTCTTGTGACATTAAGTTTTGTCCAGGCTCATTCATTCCTATGAAAAAATATATATCCTGAACAACTGAAAATTGTTCAATGGAGACAGTGCTGGGTCCCCATAGCTGGAGGCTGCCTAGTAATTATGCTGCATGAAATTAGACACAGTTTGTTCCAATTACTTAAAATCAGATCACATGAAAGGTGACAGAGGGGAAAGAAGGGCCGAACTTTCTCATTTTGTGATATTTAAATTATGAAACCAGAAACTGCATGATGTGGAAAACAATCTGAATCCGCACCGAAACGTTGAGAGGCCAGGTGATTGCTTTCTGCAACTGTAATGATTCAGGTAATTTTAATGATCCAAAGAGAATTTTTCTGACACCACTTGCATACATAAAATGTGAATTCCATTTGCTTTGTAAGACGGGGGTCTAAAACCAGCTCACAAACAGGCATGCAGAAATACACTTGACAACATAGCCCACACAAATGACTGTGGAAATTCTCAATTTTCAAAGTAACTAAAGGTAAGTGGCATAAATCGTCATTTTTATCCAGTTCTGGTCATAATATTAAGACACAACTAACAGAGCAGAGCAAAGGTACTGCTGTCCAGCCCTAGTGAGGAGAGCCTTTTGGCCTGTTTATTAATTCTGTTGAAAACCACTGGAAGAGATTTCCATAGGACTGCCCAACTGGATGCAAACTATGGAAAATGTCACAGATGGGAAACCACTTGTGTACATCAGTCTACAACGGTAGATGGCAGATACAGGAAGTCCTCACTTAATGTCGTCAGTGGGTTCTTAGCCTTTAATCGAAACAAAGCATACCGAGACCTGTTTTCCCATAGGCTAATGGTACACAAGAGTCAAGCTCTGACAGCATCTCATCGGCGTTGTAACGAGACGACAGAACGAAACGACTTGCCCACGGGACCTGCTGCAGGGCCAGCAGCTGGATGCTCACATTTCCATGTTTCAGACTTGGGCTTATGTCCTGTAAGAATTGCTAGCCTGGGTAACCTTGAACTTGGATGCCTCTTCGCACTCTAGACAACAAAATTGAGGATGAGAAAAGTTGTTCCTTGTTCAAAGTCTCATCGTTAGTGAGCAGCAACATCCCATACAATCTAAGTACAATTCTTCAACTGGTGTCGCTGTAGAACTACTTTATATGCCCCTTACTTCTCTTCCTGGGAAAAGGGATCTGTTTGGGTGGCATTGTGTGACAAGCCGCCCTGCGGTGGGAGCTGGATTTTAAACCTCACGGCGGTGGGTTTCTCTTAGCTCAGTGTCCAGTCTCGAGATTTTGCCTCTGACCACCGGCATGATGTGGGGGAGGGAGGTTGTCGCATGATCTTAGCCTTTTATGAGGCTTCTATACTTTTGTTTGAAAAGAGTGGGCCACCATCGCTTTTAGGGATGAAGTAAGGAAAGGAGTGTCGTGGGTCTCAGACTGGATTGTTTATTCCTCTTGTGGGCTTTGGAAATTTTTTATTGTACATGTTGATGTTGCATCTGAATGGCTGTCCCTTCATTCCACGACTGTTTACTGACTTCTTGTTATGCCAGGCTGGGATTTGAGGGTGGCGAACAAGAAAGGCGTGGGCTTTGGAGCTGTTAAGAGAGCCGCCGACAAGGACGCAGGTGGTCAGAACAAGAGTTTCGGAGAGCTACGGAGAAGGAAAGACCTCAGTGAGGGGATGAGCTGGGCTGGTGGAGAGTGGAGTGCGCGGCTTGGCGTTCGAGCTGAGACATGACCGTGGCGCTGGGACAGGAGCCTGAGTGGCAGGGACCAGCTCGGCGTGTTGGGAGGCCAGAAGGAAGGACTGTGTGGCTGGGCAGAGCGGTGGGTGGGGCTGGGTAGTGGCGGACAAGCAGTCCGAAGGTTTGGGGACAGGGTCCACGGATAGAGGACACGAAAGGTGTTTGCCACGTCTCTCTTTCATGGTGAGGCTCAGACACCAGACGGGAAATGAACTATCACCGAGTGCATGGCTGCTGACCATTCCTTCCCCTGGTCAGTCTCCTCACCTGTGAGACAGGAGGGACAATCGATTCCATTAATGTCCCTCAAAGGGATATAATGGGGATTAATTACCATCTTGTCTGTAATATACTTGGAGCTCTTTAGAGAAAGGAACTATATTCCATGAAAGCAAAGCCTTATTCTAATTGTGTATTTATTGATTAAGTGACAATCAAAGACAATGCTTATGGGAAAAATTGCTACATCTCTGCTCTCCAACAAACGGATCCCATGTGAATAGATATAGAACATATTTAAACTTACATATAAGAGCATTAAAGTGGTCATTAACGAGCCCTCTTAGCATCTAATCAGACATTATTAATGAGATTAAAAGCTATGCTAATTAACATTCAATAGACCAGAATTCAGTTTCCAGTGGCAGAGACAGATAAATTGAGAGTTCGGGGTGCCCTTTCCCACTCGTAAGAGAATGGACTGTTGACTATCAGAACATTTTATATCTTGGGAGCGTTTACTGGGATGCAGTGTTGCAGACTAGGCAGTATCTCTGCAGATGCAAACCGTCCTCAGCGTTTCTCCCAAGCTTCAGGAGTGTGCATTTCTGATTTAGATATAGTTGACTGTTGGACAAAAAGTATTTGTGCCATAACTAATTTCAGTAGAATTCCAAACATTCTTACAAGAAGGTATGATTTTGTTTTATTATCTAATCCTGTAATGCTTTTTTTTATCCTATTTTATGAAGAACATAGCCGGGCTTGTTCATAGCACGCAAAATATGCTGGTCTTTGACCTTATATTGGCCTGTGTTCAGAATCCCAGCATGTGTTGACATTCAGATATGGAAACAAACTTTGGTTGAATTTCGTTTGTTTGTGCTTTTCAGAAGAGCTCAAGTGAATAGTGGTCAAAAAGTGCACTCACTTTAATTTTGATATTTGCATCCAGCAATATGGTATTTGGAAGGAGAATGTCATGCTAACAAAGTGCTTAACTACTGGGGACCTCAGCGGAGATGGTTGTCCAAATGGTTGAGCTTTAGAAGTCCATGGTCCTAATAAAAACATTACATCAGGGCAGTACACTGTTATATGGTCAAAGGGCTAGTCCTTATTTTAATCCTATAAAATACAGTGAAGACCATATTAAACGTTCTATGTTTGCAACAAAAAAAACCTGTTAAAGGATAAACTCAGTATCAAGGTTCTGCAAGTATCCTAAGTAGCTATTTATACACTTCACTAAGCTTTGTAATTGGCTGTCTTTTACTGCCATTAATTAGATGATGTAGTATTCCATTAATAAGAGTGACACACCTCAGCATTTTTACCTTTAATTATAGACATCACTAGACACTTAGGTTATTGACAAATAGCCTAAATATTGCCTGGCACACACATCTCTTTAAAGAGCATATCTGGTTATTACTGAATCCCTAGCACCGCTGTTGCCCCTGACGTGTGATAGGCACCACCTTCTCTGCCCAAAGTATAAGTGCACACACCTGTCTCTTTTGTTCTCTTTCAGCATCCTTACCCTTCTGAAGAACAGAAAAAGCAGTTGGCACAAGACACGGGACTCACCATCCTTCAAGTGAACAATTGGTAAGTGCTGGGCTTTGTGCTGACACTCCTCTGCTTGGCACTGAGACACACCCAGGGCTGCCGTTTTCCCTGGTGGCTTTCGGATCCCAGCGTGAAAACAAACTGCGGCGTGATAGGTGAGCGTCTCTGCTGGTGTGGAGAAGAGCACAGTGTGTGGCCTCCCCCGCCTTTATTCAGTGACCGATGCCAGGCTAGTCTCAGTCAGTGTTGACCCACCTTCACTGTGGCAGTGGCGGTGTATCCCGCTCGGTGGCCTTTCCTCTTCAGGAGAATCGACAGAAAGAGTGGTCTCCTGATTTCCTATGAAACAAGAAAAGCCACCATCACCTATCGATCAGGTTTGCAATTCACTGAATAACGAAATTTAGTGAGATTTTGTTAGGGCTCTGCGTTCAAGGAGAGCCCCCCACCCCTTTTGTTCTTATCTCTTGTCTCTGGAAAAGGAGAAATTACTTGTCTCTACTTTGAAACGGTCCCAAACTGCATGTGTCTTGGAACTGTGCAATACTGCTTCTAAGTAAGTGTGCAAACTCCTGATGTGGGGAGGAGCTGAGGTTGTGTACCAAGAGCCAGCCAACAGTATTCTGACTTATTGCATGGTGGTATGCGACGAGGCTGTGAGCGAGTGATTTATTAGCCTTTGCGAGTGTGCTGGAAGCCTACATCATATAATCACCCAGAGCTACTGTCATATTCGAAGGGACGGAAACCCAATATCCTCTAAAACTAAGTGTATCTAATTAATTGTCCTAATATTTTTAGATTAGTGTTTATGATGAGGAAACCTTATCCTCTTTGAAGTAAACTCCAGAAAAGGCCCCGAGCCTGGTTGGGGAAAACAGAGAACTGGGAATGCCAGTTTGCAGACAGAAGTATTTCTTTCTGTTCAATAAGTGTCAAAGATTAATATTACAGAATCTCTGATTACATGGCCTAATCCATTTTGGTGAATAAATGTGTTCTTCGTGTCCATTGCACCTCTATTAACAGACCCTTCTCTCTGTTGGAGAGCCCGGAAGCCTTGGGAGAGATTTCAGATATATTAAACTCCATTACAGAAAATGTAATTTCTGTCAATATAATCCCATGTATTCTTCAATTTAGTATTTTAGAGATAACAAGCTCCTTACAATATATTTGCCTTTGGAGGATTAATTTACAAAGTGCACTATCTTCAAGACACAGACAGACCCACATCAGCAGCGCTTGTAAGGGTTATCAATTTCCCTGACCTCGCTGCGGCCCTGGGGGATCGGTTTTCACAGCCCTCCAGCCAGGTGGCGGGCCACCCGCTGAAGGCACACTGTACCTGCATGTGTTACGAGGAGTTGTGTTGCTGCTGAGGTCCTTTTGGCTTATTTTACCTGCTCTTGTGTATAATTTTTCAAGACGGTTGATACTATATATTTGAACATAGCCTTTCGAATTATTTCGGACATTATTATAGGGTAGACCATCTGTGTTGCATGCACACCTGAATCCATGTATAGTTTCCAGGTCAAACTGACGGTGAGGCAATTCGAATACAACGGAGGCTATGTAAATGTCACACTTCCCTGGGAAAGGTTCCCACTTGAGGACCAAGGAGCAGCAGTGGCCGGGCGGGCTTAATTAGAGAAGGCAAAGCTGTGGGGGTCAGGGGCTGTATCACACATCCCTTCTCCCTTTCTTCTCGCTGTTGCTAGCAGACCTCATCCATAAACACACATTGCTACCAGAGAACAAATTCCAGTGCAAGTTGCTTTCTACAGGTGGACAGCCTTATGGGATACTCCGTAGACACGGGCAGGCAGGCATTCCTGTGACAAGCAGTATGCAGTTGTGGTTTTCTTAGATTCTGTGCACAGTCAGTGATCACAATCAGACCATCTCAGTTTTGCCATTAAAAGGGGTGGGGAGGACTTTAAAAACGTTTTGATACATACCATAGGATAAGTTTTCAAAGTATGTGCTGACTTGACCCTAAACTCTATACCGAGACTTAATTCCGCACAGGTACACAACTTAAAAGCCACTTTGACTTAGTTACGTGGGAAGTAAGCACAGTTCTGTTCTCAAGTGGCATGGGTAATGCCCACATGTTCTCTCTGCTTCTGTGTGGTGTTAGCAGTGACTTTTGCTTGCATTTCATTGCTTCGAATTTGGCAACTGTTTCAACTCTTATAACTTGGTTTGTGGTGGAGAATTTCCCTCAAGTAACTCAAAAGTTGTAAGAGATGTTGCTTTTCTTATACTGGGTGCATAATGACATTTCCATGTTTGATTTGAGTTTTTGTTTTTTGTTTTTTATCCTCACCCGAGGACATTTTTCCATTTTTTTGTTCAGGTAGAGTGGGAGGGAGAGAGAGGAACACAGAGAGAGAGAGAAACATCGATGTGAAAGGAACACATCGAGTGGCTGCCACCCGCACAACCAACCAGGGCCGGGGACAAACTGCAACCGAGGTACATGCCCTTAGCGGGAACCGAACCCGGGTGTCTCAGGACCGCAGGCCGACGCTCTAACCGCTGAGCCAAACCGGCCAGGGCTTGATTTGAGTTTTTAACGGTTTATTAATTTCCACCCACACTTCCTTTTAAGGAGCTGATAATAGATTTCTCTTTCTTTAGACTTTGAGTAGGGAATAGGATGGAAAAATGGGAAAATCCAGCTGGTACTTACACTGTGGCATACTTGAAGACTAAAAAGTAGCATACCCACTGAAGTAAAATGGTTCTCATTTTACTTTATTGTAATAAAAATTACACAAAGCCTTTTTGAGAGCTGGTAAACACTTTTCTTGTATTGAGCATCAAGCTCAAGTTATTTCCTTTGGGAAATAACAATTTTAAAAAAATCTTCATTCCCTTGCACTTCATTTAGCCACAGCATTAAAAAATATGTCTTCCTTCCTGGATTTCTCCAAACTTGTTAACACACATGTACATTTTGTACAAACTATGAGTCACTGTTGAAGAGATTTAATAAAATGCTGAAGGGCAGGTTGGGTGCAGATCAGTCATAATTATTGGCAGCAACATGATGTATGAAAACACACAATCTAAAAGTAAAAAATATAAACTCATGTCTAGTTGTTTGCTTGTCACAGAAACCCTGGCCAACACAGCCATAAGTTAGGTTTTAACTGAAAAATGAGATGAGAAAAGTTTGGTGCATTGTAATGGTTCTTGCATTCCATTGCTGAACTGATTTTACAGTTATTTAATTGTACAGTTATGTAATATATAAATCAGGTGATATATACTCTCCACTTCGGCTAACTAAGATCAAAAGCATATGGGATTTGGGGGAAGAGGAGACAACAGAGAGAATTTAAACAATGACCTAAATTTAAACAAGACAGATTTGATTAATTAAGAAAAATTGGATTAAAAGGAGCAACTGTTACAATTTTTGTATTTGGTTTTACCTGCCAGAATGAAAACAGAGAGGAGAAATCTGAAAATGACTGGTGTTAGTACTTGTAGAAATTGGGACCAAGGATGGAATGTGAAATTTATTAGATGAGACATCGTGGGACAAGTCTATGCCAATAAAGTTTTTGAGAAGTGAGACAATAATGCAAATAATTTGGGTAAAAATATTTTTTACCTAAATTATCTAAGTATTTAAGGTAATTGCATGGTTTTAAAATATCAACTTCCATAACTAATTGCCTAAATATTTTAATCTAGGTGCTGAGGTAGACTTACCCTTGAAGCATAATAATTTTTGAAATATAATATGTGCTACAAATTTGTGTATTCTTCCTTTGCTTCCTCACTTCCAATTATGGTTTGATCCAAAAACGATAATAGCATTTGAGGTTTTGTCTTTGTTTGTTTTTCATTGTTGTGGTGTTGGTGACAGATACTTCTGTTGTATCAGTAGTGGAAACATATTACTAATATGTTGAATGTTTTAATTATTTCAAGAGAAACTTCTTAAAATTTGAGATTAGATGGTTGTTTGAGTCTTTAACTGTTTAAGTAGAACTTGAAAGGAAACACAAACATGTTACCAGGAGGGACTGGGCCGAGCGTGTGGGTTTTTTACTTTATGCAGGGAAGATTTTACAACATGAGTCCAGGTAATTTTGAGAATACGTTTGTTACAGCTGGGGACACAGTGAAACAAAGGAAGGACTTAGGGTATAAGAAGCAACAAGAGAGAGCCTAGCACGTACACACACAAACACACACACACACACACACACAGTCAACACTTGGTTCTTTTATCTCCAGACCAACTTTATTTTTTTATATTGAGAATGTGGGTGTAGAATGGTCACATAAAAACTTCCTCGTGTGTTTTCACAGCAGTGTTGCCGGCCTGGGAATTGCACGTGATGAAAGCATGTGCCCATGATTGTATCTTGTTTGCTGGATGCCTCCAACACCTCCTGCCTTAGCAGAGTCCTAGCCAAGGGTGCACTGACTACATTTTACAGTTTCTTAGTTTACTACTTCTCATCCAAACCCTTTCCCATTAAGGCCAATGATTGTTAAATGATTGTTCCTTTAGACTCTAAGAAGGCAATATGGATTTTGGGTGCAGATTATGTAATGTATGTGAAATACAATTTGTATGTGGAGAGAAAAATCCCTCTCCATCATTTGGGTGCATAAAATTCCAAGGAGCATCCTAATGTCCGAGGTGACGCTTTACAGAATTATCTCAGCACTATAGTTCTCAGATTTAGTACACACACCAGATTTTTCTAGTTACTTCATTTATTGCCTGCAAAACTGAAAAGCATTCAGGCATCACTTCCCATTTATTCCTAGTGGGGGGAAAAGTATGTTATCCTTAGAGATTTATGCCACTGGCAGGTAAAAATGTAAACTTATTTTTTAAAAATAGGATCTCCCTTATTATTATAAACAGATTCAACTGGTAAAGGTCAGGTTTCTTTCTGAGTTATGGTAATAATGTAGCAAATACTTTTATAAGTAATCAAAGATCCTATAAATATAGGTACCTGTGTAGATGTAAATGTTAAAACATTCACAAATTATCC